GATGCTCTGTATCCTTGGTGCTTGGGGGGGGTCAACAGTGGAAGAGCTTGTAGTGTCCTGGCCCCACTGCTGGACCTCCTGATGGCACCTGGTATTTCTGGCCACTGTGTGACACAGAGTGTTGGACTGGATGGGCCATTGGCCTGATCCAACATTGGCTTCTCTCATGTTCTTATGAAATTCCTGGCAGATTTGGGGTTGCAGCCTTGCGAGGGACCTCATCAGGGTCTGATGCCATGGAGCCGCCGTTTTCTCTGGAGGAACTGACCTCTTTCGTCTGGACTGGAGATCAGTTGCAATTCCTACAGCCCCCGCCTGGAGATCGGCAACCTGCCTCCCCTGTGTTCTTATACATTTGGGTCGAATTCTCTTGGGGGCAGTTGAGGCCAGGTGGGAGCCAGGACAGCACGGCCAATGAGGATCCCGGGGAGGACGGGAGACCCTCCCCCTGACCCCTAGGCATCTGCAGGCAAGTTGCCCAGGCCTGTAGCCACAGCAGGGTATCTTAACAATAATAATAATAATCCTTCAATTTATTGATTGCTCAATCCTGCAGAGCTTGCTGGCTCTGAGCGATTTACAGTTACTCATTTTTCACGAGGGAGTAACAATGATTTGTGGGGTAAGGGAGGACAACATATATACATCTTAAATCACACACATTCGCAGCCGACGAGGGTTCGTTCAGACGGAGATGAGACGTGATCCGGAACGGCATTTTCCCGGCCGGGTCTGATGGCGTCAGCTTTCTCCAGACTCCTTTGAGTTGTAGCGCCTGGCCGGACGGCCCATTACAGGCTTTTCTTCGTGCCGAGGAGATCTCTCTAGGCTTTCCAATCTTCCGAGCTGGACTTCCGTTCGCCAGCTAACACTGCTCCCCCCGGCGGGGGGGGGGGTGTCAGTGTGCCCACCCTCTCTAAGGAGTGGTACCCATTTTATCTACTTGCCGGAGCTTTCAAACCGCTGGGTAGACGGCGAGCTGGGGACAGAGACTGGTAGCTCACACCCAGTGCAGGGCTCGAACTGACAGCAAGCCTGTTCAGCTCAGATGTTAAACCAGAGGATAAATCCTCTGTGCCACGGCTCCCCTTACGGCTAGGCCCCCTGACTTACTGGCAAGCTCCGGGCCCACCGATCTTCTCCCCCCTGGGCTCCGGCGACGAGACCTGAGTGGCTTTCAGCTGCTGCCGGGCCCTGCCAGAGTTTTCTCTGCGCATGCGCAGGGAAAGTGCTCTTACTTTTATGGGGATTTAAGTATCCACTGTATAGTTTTAAAAACTTTTCAGATTTTTCTGCACTCCTGGGGAGTGCCCTAAGCAGTGTTCCCTCTAAGGTGAGTTAGTGTGAGCTAGCTCACTGTTTTTTTAGCCTCTGATTCATACATTTTTGTCTTAGCTCAGGAAGGATCGATCCGGAGCAAACTAATTTATGCAGTAGCTAAATCACTCGCTCACAACCTTAATGCCAGTAGCTCACAAAGTAGAATTTTTGCTCACAGGACTCCACAGTTTAGAGGGAACACTGGCCCTAAGTGTGCAGGGAAATCTCTTTGCCCCTCCCCCCAAGTGCCCCCAATGTGCGGATTTAGATATCTGCACATCGGGGGCGTCTTGGCTATAGTATATAGCCAAGTATAGTATATAGATGAGGTAATTTCTGTGCCGCTGAATGTGTCCTGGGAATACTTACGCCCTCCTTCTGCTCTTCCTGGTGGCTCCAGACTTCTAATCTCCTCATGCGTCAGTTACCGAAGATCCCGTTTTCTTGATGCAACTGACTTCACTACGCATAATCCACCTTGAGTCCATGAGAGAAAAGAGGACTATAGCTAACATCAGTAAAGACCACATGTCCCAATCATTTATCCAAGCAAGTTTGTGAAAACATTTTTCCTGTGCAGCCTTACGACCTGCTCAGAAATGCCCTCTTGACTATAGGTAGACCAAGATGGGTGGCCGTCTTTTTCTGTCTGTAGCAGTAGAAAAGAGCAAGAGTCCGGGAGAATCAGTCTCCTGCCCAAACTTTGGGCCACTCATTAGCATAGGAAAGCCCCGACTAAGGAAAGCCCCGACCTCTCCTGCTCCATTGCTAGCTCCTAAAATGGCTGCCAAGGTGGAGTTGGGGCAGGGAGGACATAGGTAGGAAGAAGAAGAAGAGATTGGATTTATACCCCACCCTTCACTACTCAAAGCTGTCTCAGAGCGGCTTACAAACTCCTTTCCCTTCCCCTCCCCACAACAGACACCCTGTGAGGTAGGTGGGGCTGAGAGAGCTCTTGACAGAAACTGCTCTTTTTCAAGGACAGCTCTTGTCAGAACTGCGGCTTGCCCAAGGTCATCCAGCAGGTGCAAGTGGAGGAGTGGGGAATCAAACCTGGTTATCCCAGATTAGAGTCTGTGCATTTAACCACTACACCAAACTGGCTTGGTTTGGCCCTTGTTAGCAGTGTCCTCGTTACTTTCCGGAGGGCTTTCAGGAAGAACTGCCGGGGAATGCTGATGGATCTGACAGGGGTGCTTTCATACCTGCTGAATAAAGGTGCCACTGTAAGCCAGAGGCACTGCCTATTACTATTGGGTAGCCCATAGCAGGGGCACCCCACTTCTAACTAATCCAGAGACCCACAAAATTCAGGCCAAGGAAGGCACTCTTGGTTCTGAAACACAGAGCTAGCCACAGCTCTGAAAAGGGGTCTCCATTTTCAGTTGACAGGCAACCTCAGAGCAAGCCTCTAGTTTTCCCCCTCCACCCAGCAGAGATTATGCTTATGGAATAACAATGAGTTCTAGCAGGTAAAGTATCTACATTTCTAAAGTCTATTTCTGAGCACTTATCTTTTCTACTCTGCCCATTAAGATACCGGGATAAACCACTTAAACATTCAAATTATTAACGATCCGTCTCCCACCTTTTGTTTACCCTGGCCAGGGCCATTAGTGGTCAGAGTATCCACTTAACTAGCCGGCCAGCACCTGGCTTCTATTGTTAAATCCAGACCTTGCCCCTCTGGACATCTAGGCCTTGCCCCTCCTGATGCCACACACCCCTGGGACTCATCATTGGTCCAGGAAATCTTTTGTTCTCACCTGAGAGCAGCCCCCAGGAGCAGGCATTGGTCTGCATTGTTTTCCATAGGGTATATCCCAGCGTAAACATGGCTTCAGACCGTGTGTGTTCTCTGCCATAACCCAACATGGCAGGCCACCCCTAAACTCTCTGAGTTTAGGCCACACTCCATGGACCCCTGCACATCTGAACAGGTTGTATCACCCCTCTATAAGCCATCAATCACCTCTGCTTCCTTATAGTTCTATATTGTATGTCTGTGAATGTTGTGTGTTATTGAGTGAAGTGCGCCAGTAAAATATCATTATTATTAAGGAAGTCTGCCTCAGTCTCTCATTGGTAACCTCGGAAAGCAGTGTCATCCTCCGTAGACACAGACGGACGGACCCTAATAAAAATAGCTGTACCAATTGTTTCCCTTAAGGAGCAATTCGGCTAACACCACTGGACTGTTTTGGATTGCTATCGGGGTGGGGGGGAGGCTCTGCAACTTACCTGGCTTCTTCTTGCTCTGACTGAGGGCTGTCGGGAGCAGGGGGCGGGGCTTGTTGCATGTGCCCGCCCCCTGGGCTCTTTACTGCCGGAGCTCCGCTCCTGTGCGCTCCTGAAGGAAATGACCCCTGCCTTTGTCAGAAATAACAAGCAGTAGTACAGGATCGGTAATTGGGGAATGGGCCCCACCTCTCAGTCATACATCACACACGCACAGGCTTATTACAGGTCATGAAAGAATATACGACCTAACTAGCTATGCCTCAAGTCTTATCGCTCCCAAGAAGAAGAGATTGAATTAATACCCCGCCCTTCACTTGGAGTCTCAGAGCGGCTTACAAACCCCTTTCCCTCCCCCTCTCCACAACAGACACCCTGTGAGGTGGGTGGGGCTGAGAGAGCTCTTGACAGAAACTGCCCTTTTTCAAAGACAGCTGTGCCAGAGCTTGTGACTGGCCCAAGGACACATCAGCAGGTGCAAGTGGAGGGGTGGGGGAATCAAACCCGGTTCTCCCAGATTAGAGTCCGCACACTTAACCACTACACCAGACTGGCTCTCCAAGGGCACAGGTCCAGCTGGATCCTGTGAACCGTATGGGGGAACTTCAGGAAAATTACGAGCAGTGCCTCCACACTACACCGGGCACTCATTCTCATTTTAATGCATGGGAGGAGGCAATCAAATGCATGGGAGGTTGGCGCTTGCTGGATTTCATTGCTTTAGGGAGGGGGAAGGAGGTTTGTTTTCTTTGCATTTCATGGCAGAACAGACACCCTGAATGGTCCCCCTCCCTATTTCATATTTTCCTTAGGTGTCCTTAAGTTTCATAGCTTTGATGCAATCCTTGTGTCCGCTACTCCAGGGACTTCTCAACTCAAGGCTGCTTCAGAGCATTTTGTGTTTTTCAGGACAGGAAACCATGCCCTATTTATTTTTAAACTCTCTTTTTTCCTGTTGAAATTATGCTTATGCTCTACATCTTACAACAGCACTACAGGTAAGATTAGAATTTCAACAGCCAATACATATGCAAAAGAACCTCCTCAGGAAAGCTCCTCAATTAGCATGTCACAGCCTGGGAAACTCCTACATGATCATGACTCAGCCATGTTCTCATATCTGCATGTCATATTTTATTATTTTATAACTGTTTCATTGGTTTTCCTGTTTAACCTGCTTTGCTTTTATCTGTTTTAATGTGCTGGCTCTTGCCAAGAATAAATTTCACTAATTCCTAAAAGTCTGGAACCACCGAAAAAGAACTGAAGGATAGCATAAGTATTCACCTGACAAGTTAAGCAATACAGAAATGGCATGGATAGGACCCTACTTACAATACACTGCATAACAGCAGTAAAGACCACAAGTCCCAATCATTTATTCAAGTCAGTTTGTGAAATCGTTTTTGTACTGTGCAGCTCTATTACCTCTTTCCACATTCAGAGCTTGCCGTTATTTTCTCTTGTGTGGATGCTCTGATGGGAAGAGAGAGCATAGCCTTGACGGAAGCTCCTTCCACATTCAAAGCATTTAAATGGTTTTTCCCCCGTGTGGATTCTTTGATGGTGAGTAAGGCCTGACCTGCTACTGAAGCTCTTTCCACACTCATCACATTTGTATGGCTTCTCCCCAGTGTGGACTCTCTGATGCAGAGTCAGAATATCATTTCGACTGAAACTCTTTTCACATACTGAACATTTGTAAGGTTTGTCCCCTGTGTGGATTCTGCTATGCACTGTAAGGGAATACTGCAGACCGAAGCCTTTCCCACACACTGAGCATTTATAGGGCTTCTCCCCGGTGTGGATTGTTCCATGAGAAGCAAGGGCTCTGTTGGATCTAAAACTCATTCCACACTCCAAGCATTTAAATGGTTTCTCTCCTGTGTGGATTCTTTCATGGGAAACAAGGTATGACCTGCGAGTGAGGCTCTTTCCACACTCTGAGCACATATATGGTTTCTGCCCTGTCTGGATTCCATTATGTAATGTGTGGACCCTGCTATGCAAAACAAGGGAATACTGCCGACTGAAGCCCTTTCCACACTCTGAGCATGTATAGGGTTTCACCCCTGTGTGGATTCTATTATGCATGGTAAGGCTATCGTGCCGAATGAATCCCTTTCCACACACAGAGCATTTATAGGGCTTTTCCCCGGTGTGGATCCTTTGATGGGAAGTAAGTTTGTTGCTCTGACTGAAGCTCTTCCCACATTCAAGACACTCATACCGTTCCTTCCCTCTGTGGATTCTTTGATGGGAAGAAAGGCCTGATCTGTTACTGAAACTCTTTCCACACTCTCCACATTCATACGGTTTCTCTCCCATGTGGTTTCTCTGGGAGGAAAAACGAGTTTTGCTCTGACGGGAATTAGTTGTCTGCTCTAAGCATTTCTCCCGTTTGTGTGTTTTCCGATGCAGGCCCAGGGTCGGTTTAGATACTGAGTTTTTGGAACGCAGCTGCAATGTACTCTTGCCTTTGTAACCTTTTTGGATTGGGGTGTCATGGAAATCAGCCCCATCAGAAGCCACATATTTCTTCCTCCGCGTCTGCCTTCCTTCAGTTTTCCTTCTGGGCAATTCTTCCACTCTCTCCGTCCAGTCGCCTGAGGAAATAAATAGAAAAACCTGATGAGGGGGAAATGGAGCCTCAAAGCAGCAGGCAAAGCTCACAATTGTTTAGCCTCCGGCTCACACATGTTTGTCTCAGCTCAGGAGGGGGTGGCTCCAGAGCAAAGTGGCAGCCCAATCGCTCACTCACAACTTGAATGCCAGTCATTCACAAAGTAGGAGTTTTGCTCACAGGACTCCACAGCTTTGAGGGAGCATTGGTTGGGGGGGGGGTTTGTAAATTTTTATTGAAGAAGAAGAAGAGATTGGATCCATACCCTGCGTCTCAGAGCTGCTTACAAACTCCTTTCCCTTCCCCTCCCCACAACAGACACCCTGTGAGGTAGGTGGGGCTGAGAGAGCTCTGAGAGAACTGCTCTGGACAGAACAGCTCTGAGAGAACTGTGATTTACCCAAGGTCACCCAGCTGGCTGCATGCGCAGGAGTGGGAATCAAACCTAGTTCTCCCAGATTAGAGTCCACCCCTCTTCACCACAACACCAAACTGGCTTTCTTTAAAAGCTGCCCTTTGCATCTGGGCCTCCCAGCCAACACGGAGACCATTAACCACTCAAACTGGCTTTAAAGACCAGCAAGATTTCTGCAGTAGCAAGCTTTTGAGAGTCAAAGCTCACTCGGTCAGATACCAGAGCTTTGACTCTCCAAAGCTCCTACACCAGAAATCTTCAGTTTTCCTTCTTGGCAATTCTTCCACTCTCTCCGTCCAATCGCCTGAGGAAATAAATAGAAAAACCTGATGAGGGGGAAACGGAGCCTCAAAGCAGCAGGCAAAGCTCACAATTGTTTAGCCTCCGGCTCACACATGTTTGTCTCAGCTCAGGAGGGGATGGCTCCAGAGCAAAGTGATGTATGCAGCAGCCCAATCGCTCACTCACAACTTGAATGCCAGGAGCTCACCAAGTAGAATTTCTGCTCACAAGACTCCACAGCTTTGAGGGAGCATTAGTTGGGGGTTTTTTTTGTAAATTTTTATTGAAGAAGAAGAAGAGATTGGATTTATACCCCGCCCTTCAATCAGAGTCACAGAGCGGCTGACAATCTCCTTTCCCCTCCCCCTCCCCACAATAGACACCCTGTGAGGTAGGGGGGGCTGAGAGAGCTCTGAGAGAACTGCTCTTGAGAGAACAGCTCTGGCAGAACTATGGTTTGCCCAAGGTCATCCAGCAGCTGCGAGTGGAGGAGTGGGGAATCAAACCCGGTTCTCCCAGATTAGAGTCCACGCACCTAACCACTACACCAAATTGGAGTGGTGTTGTATTCCGTTTCAGTTTTCAATAACAACTATAACAAACCTTTAAAAAGGATAAGTACATTGCTCATTAGCAAAGGTGATGCTGAACAGTGTTCTCAAAATGAATATAACACTAAGATATTAATCAATAGTTACCATCAATGAACTATATCAATTACATCTGGTATAACCTCTTGAGAAACCAAGTATGATAGAATTGGTAACCATAAAGAAGTGAATTCACTATACCCATCGTCAACCCTTATTACATTCAGTATATCTGTGGCCTTTTCCATTACATTTCCATTACAATTGTTGTTGTTATGGTATTTATTCATTGTTTTAATCTTTTGTCATGTTATTTAATCCTGTTAGCCGCCTTGAGCCTGCTTGTCAGGCAAGGCGGGGTATAAATACAAATAATAAATAAATAAATGTTCCACAACTTATTGTCCCATAAGCTCAAGTTTAGTTTACAATCAGATTTCCATTTTGATGCAATAACTGTTCATGCTGCAAATAACAATGCAACCTTTTTTTTTTTTTTTTTGTATGGTAGTTAGGTCATATTCATTTCTAAAGTTTAAAAGAAGTGATTCTGGACCCTTATTAATAGTTAAAGGTAAAGGTTCCCTTAATAGTTAGTCCAGTAATATACCTTATTTGTTCCAATATCTTGTCCCCAAAAATATTAACTACTGGACAGTCCATCCAACAATGTATGTACGTCCCATTGGTTAAGAGTGGCAGTCTCTAATCCGGAGAACTGGGTTTAATTCCCCACTCCTCCACTCTAACCCGGAGGTGACCGAGACATGGCTCACCATGGCCGGATAACACTTTTGGAGGAAGGCCACACCTGACAAACAATCCTAAGCTAGTAAACGGCACTACAATGGGCAGATGAAATGTGGGCATCCATCTTTAGGTACACATCTAAGAGCAAGCCCCCGAGATGCAAGTCTGCCTTCAATGCAGAATACAGCTCCATAAAGAGCAAACTGGAACTACAATTTTGATTGGCATCACCGTCACCGCTGATAGGCCCATAATTGAGTCCATTGGATGCCAAAGCTTGTCCTAATATCAGTGAATGCAGTGAACAAGAGAGAGCCACAAAGGAGGGGATGTGGCTCAGCGGTAGAGCGTCTGCTTGGCATGCAGAAGGCCCCAGGTTCAATCTCCAGCAGGTTGTAGATGATGTGAAGGACCTCTGCCTGAAACCCTGGAGAGCGGCTGCCAGTCTGAGTAGACAAGACTGACCTTGATGGGCCGAGGGGCTGAATCAGCATAAGGCAGTTCCATGTGAATGTGATGACATCCCAGAGCACTGACAGCATCGAAGAGGAGATGCAAGGGGGTGAAACACAGAAAACGTTCCATAGGGTGTGAAGGCAGAGCTCTGAAAGGAGGAATCAGCTGCCTGGGGTGGGGTGAGCTCCCCTTCCCTGGCAGCTTTCAAGAAGAGGCTGGATGAATATTTGTCGGGGATGCTTTAGGCTGGTCCTGCATTGGGCAGGGGGTTGGACTAGATGGTCTGTATGGCCCCTTCCAACTCTATAATTCTATGACTCTATTCCAGTTGAAGGACCTCAAAGAACAGGTGGAAAGAACTCTACATCAGACCATGGATGGCCATTTCCAGTTAGCGCAGACAATACTGAGCCACATAATTTAAGGGTAGATTTGTATTTCTCTATGTTTAGGGATACCTGCGTTGCCTAGACATTTTCCCCACAATAGGTACACAAATGACCCATCATTAAATCCTCTCTCACAGAAAAGTGTGTCTGGCCCTATATTAGGACACAGTCTGAGATTTACCAAAAAGGAGGGGGACTATTTTAGCCTTCCCAGCCCATCTTAATTATCATGAAGAAGACGAGATTGGATTTACATCCCACCCTTCACTACCTGAAGGAGTCGCTGAGTGGCTTACAATCCCCTTCCCTTCCCCTCCCCACAATAGACACCCTGTGAGGTAGGTGGGGCTGAGAGAGCTCTTGACAGAAACTGAGAGGACAGCTCTGACAGAACTTATGACTGACCTAAGGTGTGACATCCTCCTTATTGGGGAGGACTAGTTTCACTTTAAAAGTTCTCTATATTTTGTTTAACTGGGTAGATTCTGCTGCCACCAGGAAATTTTAAGGATTTCCAAACCTTTATGCTTATACTTTTGCTCTTGGTAGACCAAGTTTAAGGCTTACGAGGAACTATGTGGTCCTGGGAAGTATTTCATTCAGAGCTGGTATAAACTTGAATAAAAGAGGATTTATTGAAATAAATACTAAATAAGAGGGTGATACAATGTAACTAGTAATGTGTAAATGATGTACAATTGCTTGGGTATCACACTCATGAGAAAAACCACACTCTTTTCCCTCATTGACAGGGATCTTTTCATGTAACTTTGTAACACTTGTTTATCTTAATGTCATATATGTTCACAGTTTCACTCCAGTTTGTTATGACACTCAGACTTTCCTTTAACTTTTTTCCACTTAAACTTTACTTTACTTTTTCCTATACACTGAGCTTTCAGCTCTCGTTCTCTTTCTCACTGAACAACCGCAGCTGTCAGCTTCTAACTGCTTCAACACAGAACTGTCTAACTGAACATCAACTCATCACCTAACTGAAACTCTTGACTGACTCACATACTCATCCAACCAGATTCACTTCCAAAACCCCTCCCCCTCTCTGTCAATCATACCACACTTGCCTCTCTCAACCACTCTATTCTGTCTACCACAGCCATGCAACCAAACTTTTAAAGAGACACACACACAAAATAACAAGGAATTGTTAAATAAGGTCACAGCAGCTGCACCTCAAGTGGGGAATCAAACCTGGTTCTCCCAGATTAGGGTCTGCGCTCCTAACCACTACACCAAACCGGTTCTCCAACAAATGAACTCTGGGGAGGGTGATTTTTGTGAGCTGCCAAGTGGACATGAGACGGTCAAGCAAAGCCATCTAAGATGCTCACCACGAGGACTCACCATCTCAGTGCTCTGTAGGTCTTGGGTAAGATTAAGCACTATCTGTAAATCCCACCAGTTTTATCTACAAAACATCTGATCACCTACCCGATGGTCCTTCTCCTTCATTATTTGTGTGGGCCAATGGATCTTTCTCTTCTAACCAGGAGATCAGGTCCGGTTTGGGAACCCCTTCTGACAAAAATAAATACACCAGTTTGTTACCACTATAAAATATTTCAGTATCCCTGACCTCCCCCCGTGCTACTGAGTCCAGCTGGAGTCTCGGTGAAAAAAGGTGGGTTATGAATAAAATAAATAAAAATATTGTTCCAAACAGTGGGGGAAAGCGCCCTCAAGTCGCAGCTGACTTAAGGGTATCCCATGCTTGGCAGTCTCCCATTCAAATACTAACCAGGATCGACCCTGCTTAGCTTCTGAAATCTGAAAAGATCTAGCCTGAGCTATTCAGGATAGGGCGGGAAGAATACAGAAAGACAAGCTGTTACAGCTCGAGTGGGGTGTCACCTTACGCTGCCACCACTCTGGTTCCAGGCTCCTCTGAGAGGGCCCAGAACACCTTCCCAAGCCTTTAGACCTCCCTTTTAGCCGAAATGAGTGTGAGGACCAGGCAGAGCGAACAATGAAAACAGTTTATTTTATAGGAGGTCAAACAAACAAGGTGCAGGAATAATAACAGTAAGTGGGTGAAAAGACATGAAATGCCCTAACACGGCTAAATATACTGTCCCTAGCTCACTATCTCGAGTGGCCTTAGCTTGCCCTTTCCTCAGGATGAGGGTTTCTTCCCCACAGCAGCCTCTCTCCTGGCCCTGTTCCCTGGGAAGAAGAACAGCTTCTCTTCTTGCACCAGTTATTTTATTCCCCAGCCATCTTCTTCCCTATTGGTGCCAAAACTTCCCAAGGCCTTTTGGGGTTTGTAGGCCCAGACTCCCCTACTGCAAGCCAGGCTCCCTGGGCCTACTAGGCCTCCGGTGGCACAGCCCAGATCATGGCACAAGCTGTTATAAATTCATGACCTCAAGCAATGCTCCCTCTAAGCCGTGGAGTATTGAGCAAAAATTCTACTTTGTGAGCTCCTGGCATTAAAGTTGTGAGCAAGCCATTTGGCTATGGCATGAATCAGTTTGCTCTGGAGCCCTCCTTCCTGAGCTGAGACAAAAATGTGTAAGCTGGAGGCTAAAAAAACTGTGAGCTAGCTCACACTCAGTCAGCTAAGAGGGAACACTGCCCACAAGTAGTTTAGGGCTGTGAGACCCCAGAAGTGTCTGTTTGGCACTTTCTGAGTCACTGTTTCCCACTCAGGAAGCTTGGATTCACATTGGGAAAGGTAGCGTGAAAGCAAAGCCAGATGTTTTTGATTTCAGCTGCCTCTCAAAAGATAAAAGCAAAGTCAACCTTCCTCCTCCAGAGGAGAGCCAGGAACTTCTCCTACAGGCCATGTCTCCCCGCGTATCATTCACGTATACTTATTCTCCAGTGTCAAGACAGTGCTGATTGGTTGGAGATCCTTGTAGGCCCTCTTCCTTCCCACCCCTTAGCCGTCTGACACAGACTCAGTGAAGCTCTCGTGACACATCCGGTTCCCAAGTGAACAGGGACATTTTCAGGGTGGGAACACTATGGAGGATAGGGAATCTCTGCACAGCCATGTTGATTGGGAACCAGAGGCGTTCCTGAAATTGCATAACAACTATAACCCCCTTGTCCAGAACCAGCATTTGCACATTGCTTGTGTCCTTTGTGAAGCCAGCCTCACACCAGTGGGAAGAATCATAGAATGCTGGAGTTGAAAGAGACCTTGCAGGTCATGTACTCCAACCCCCTGCACTCTGCAGGAGCATAGCCGAAAGATAGCCCTACAACATACTCGAAAGATGGTCGTCCAGCCTCTGCTTGAAAACATCCAGCGAAGGAGCATCCACCACCTCCCGAGGCAGTCTGTTCCACTGCTCAACCACTCTTACAGTTAGGAAGTTTCTCCTGATATTTAGCCAGTAATGACTCCCTTGTAATTTCCACCCATTAGATCTAGTCTTGTAATCCGGAGCAAGACAGAATAGATCTGCTCTGTCTTCTACATCAGTGTTTTTCAACGTTTTTGTGCAAAGGCACACTTTTTTCATGAAAAAAATCACGAGGCACACCACCATTAGAAAATGTTTAAAAAATTTAACTCTGTGCCTATATTGACTATATATAAAGTAATTCTCTTGAATAGGAATCAAATAAACACAAAGGAATTATTTTATAATTACTTTATTATGAAATAATAATACTTTATTTTATAATTGTTCATGAGAAAAACCACAAAGCCGCATGTTATGGATGAAATTGGAATTTTTCCCACGGCACACCAGACAATATCTCATGGCACACTAGTGTGCCGCGGCAGTGTGGTTGAAAAACACTGTTCTACATGACAG